TACGAAATACGTCAACTGCCCCCTCGTCATGGGCCGGCCCACTTACATCTTGTATTTCTCTTATGTAATAATGATGTTCAAAAAATATGCAACAAGCAAGCGTCAAACTCGCGACCTCCGTCAATCATTTGTACCGCTGTACCACCAGATCAACTTAGATGTTGTGACAAATTCTCGTATGACTGCGCTATTAGTACCTTCGTCTGGGTGGCCGCTGGATTGACATTTCGTCTGATCTGACACGATGGTTAGGCGCTGAATTTTTCCTTCCTAAATCAGTGCTTCTAGTAATCACTCCCATGTATATAGCATCTCCTCCCACTAATCTCTCCATGGATAATTAATTTTGTGCTTCTACTCCCTCCATTCGGAATTACTTATCGCAGAAATGGATGTATCTGGACGTATTTTAATTCTAGATACATTCATTTCCGAGACAAGTAATTCTGAACGGAGGGAGTAGTAACAAACTAGTAAATGGTTCCCAGAAATTACGCTAATTGTTTTGGTTGGTTGTGATTGCTTCCAACAAACAAACACAAAAAATAATGCTTCCCAAAAATTACATATTTGCTTCTGAGTTTTTTTTCATGGAACAGATTTGCTTCCGATAAATAAACAAATAAAGAAAATCAATTGCTTCTGGATGTTTTTTCTCAGCAATGGAAATGCCATGGAAACATTTTTTTTCGATAGAAGCACATGGAATGGAAATATATTATTCAGAAAAATCTGCTTCCAAAATAAAGGTACTCCAAAAATTCGTTCCAAATGTATATATTCTCAACTAAAAAAACAAGTGTATATATTCTCGATTGAAACTAGGACGTCTATACTGAAACATTGGGTTGTAGAAAACATGTAATTCCTTGAAACAGCATGCAGTAATGGTGGAAGCATACATGATTAGTGTGTAAGAGGTTCATTATTTGGGTGCATAGGAAGCCTAATGTGTTGTTGTTTGAAGTATGATTAGTGTCTAACCAGAACTCTGTTGAGCACTTGAACTGTGTAGGAAGCATAAATGTTTCGTGAAAACCTACACCTCTTGGTTATTGTGTAACTGAAGCTTCATTCTTTTGGGCAGGAAGCAAAATAGAGACATGTACCATAAAAAATTAGTAAGATGGTGTAGCATACATGTGCGACCAACAAATACATCTGCTTTAAACAAAATGAGCATATGCTTCCTATGATGTTGAATTTTTTTTCAATGGCCAACTTTCTGATTGATGTATGCTTCCATCAACATTTTGCTTATAAATGACATCATAATTTTCTTCCAAAGAAAACAAAATTTTCTTCCAATATATATTAGACTTTTCTACCATACAACAAGACATAAACAACGAAGCACAACAAGATGAAGCCCCTACTAGAACATGAGCACCATCCAAAGATGGATGTCTTCGAGGAGTAGCGTCGATTAGATCGGAGCGACAGTGATGACATTGAACCGACGTAGCTGGAGTGTGGTGGCTAGTCTGGGCCACAAGAACCAAATGGAGAAAAAAAAACCACAAACTGGCATCACCATGGAAGGCATGCATGCCATGCTTTTTGCTTTCTCACATTATATGCAGTCTCTAGGGTTGTCCCACTGAAACCCCTAAAATACTGGCCGCACATGACGCAACATGTATTCGGTGTTCGAATTCATTCAAGTTTTGCGTGGGTGACTACCTTGGGCATGACCATACACTGGCAACGTTTGGTGCCATTTCATGCACGACAGAACCTACACCATGTTCAACCGGGTTCGTTCAGGTTTGCTGGCACGACAAGTCTCAAAGCAGTTTTTTTCAGGTCCATAAAACGGAATCAATTTATTTCCACACATTAGCATCACCATGGAAGGCATGCATGCCAAGTTTCATTGCTTTCTGACATTCTATGCATTTTCTATGGTTTTCCCCGTGATAAAGCCCTAAAATATTGCCCGCATGTGACGCAACGTGTGTTTGGTGTCCGAATTTATTTTTGCATTGAGGCCTTCCATGTGCATGCCAACACGCTGGCAAAATTTGGTGTCATTTCATGCACGACATGACCTACACCATGTTTGATCTGGATCGTTTGTGTTTGCCGGTAGGGTAAGTCTTGAACCAGTATTTTTTTCACATTAACCAAATGGAACCCAAAAAATCCACACACTAGCATCACCATGGAAGCATGCATGCTAGGATTTGTTGATTTCTGACATTATATGCATTTTCTAGAGTTCTCCGAGTGAAAAAACCCTATAATACTACCCGCACGTGACGCAACATGCATTTGGTGTCTGAATTGTTTCAAGTTTTGCATGGAGGCCCTCAATGGGCATGTCCAAATGCTGGCAAAAATTGATGTCATTTCATGCACGACAGGACCTACACGATGTTCAATCGGGACCGTTCGGGTCTGTCGGTAGTGTAAGTCTCAAACCAAGATTTTGCCCTCAACTACGAGGGGAGGTAATGAACTGCCATCTAGCTCTGCACTAGATTCTCCTTCTGTTATTAGTAAGCTTGTGACACCTAAACCTGCTACTACTATGAATTCTGATATGTCGCATGTTATTGATGATGCCACTTCTGCTATGCATGATACTTATGATGAAACTACTTCTGTGCATGATACTACTTTGCCATTAGGTGAATTTCTTGATGAACAACTTGCTAGGGTTAGAGAGAATGAAATTATTGAAGATGCTATTATTGATGATAGTGATGATGAAAGTTCTCCCCCTGATTATGAATTACCTGTTGTTCCTGAGGGTTATGTTATGAATGAGGAAGCTACTAGAGCTATCTTTGCTTGCAAAGATAGATATGATCTTAAGAAGTTATTAGCTAAATGGAAGTAGCAATCTCTTAATGCTAGAATGAAACCCGACCCTGCTTTTGCTACTTCACCTATCTGTGTTACTGACAAGGATTATGAATTCTCTGTTGATCCTGCGATTATTACTTTGGTTGAATTTGATCCTTTTTATGGCCTTGAATCTGAAACTGTTGTGGCACATCTTGCCAAATTGAATGATATAGCAACCCTGTTTACTAATGATGAGAAGTCTCGCTATTATTATATCCTTAAGATATTTCCCTTCTCATTAAAGGGTGATGCTAAGACTTGGTTTAATTCTCTTGATCCTGCTTGTGTGCGTAGTCCCCAGGATATGATTTATTACTTCTCTGCTAAATATTTCCCTGCTCATAAGAAACAA